TAAATGACAAAAGTTTAAGATAGGAAAACATGGGATCATTTCAAAGAGGGGAAAAAAGAAAAGTATTAGAGTTGACAATTGTGGAGATATCTAATTATAATAAAAATAAACTTCAAGTGAAAAATATGAGGTAAATTTAACAAAACAATTTTATCTAAGAAAGTTAAACACACGAAGAGAAAAAAAGTGAGGTTAACTAGGACAATCTGCACTGCTAGCCCATGAACATAGACAACAAAAAGGAACTAAAAATCATATTGCATGACCACCTCAGCCCAACTCACTTATAATAAGGATATTCTTACAAGTGAAGCACAGGATGAAAACAAGTTTGATTCAGAAGGATAATTAGTTTGAAGTAGTATGAAGTTCCATAAGATTAACTCAAAAGGCGAAGTAGAGTTCATGAAATGTGTGTGTATATGTGTAAGCACAAAATGGGAGCTAAGCAGTCGAATTTTAAAATGTAGTAAAATCACTATAGGCAAACCAATAGTGATCGTTAAAATAGGAAAAATTACTCTAGAAGTATAAACAAAAGGCAAAAAATTGTTACCTATTTTTAAAATGAGGGTATAATTACTTTAACCTGTTATTTATACTTATAATAATATTTAAAGTCTTTGTCAAAATTTCAGTTTATACTAGAAAAACTTAATTTTAACACATGGCTCATTATCCCAGCTTAACTGACTGGGAAGCGAAGAACCCTGCGTCTCAGTCCTTTTTTGAAGAAAAGCCAGGTGTTGCAGTATTTGTGACATTTAGATTTAAAGCAAAAGGTGGTATCCAAAATAGGTAAAATAATTACTTTTCCCATGTATTGTTTAAAATAAGACCTCCAGGCCAGGCGCGGTGGCTCAAGCCTGTAATCCCAGCACTTTGGGAGGCCGAGGCGGGTGGATCACGAGGTCAAGAGATCGAGACTATCCTGGTCAACATGGTGAAACCCCGTCTCTACTAAAAATACAAAAAATTAGCTGGGCATGGTGGCGCGTGCCTGTAATCCCAGCTACTCAGGAGGGTGAGGCAGGAGAATTGCCTGAACCCAGGAGGCGGAGGTTGCAGTGAGCCGAGACCGCGCCATTGCACTCCAACCTGGGTAACAAGAGCAAAACTCGGTCTCAAAATAAAATAAAATAAAATAAAATAAAATAAATAAAAAATAAAAAAAATAAGACCTCCATTGACTTTTTGCAAGACTATCTTAGGTAACTATTCTGAAAACAGGAAAGGAAAATTGAAAAAAATTTTCATAGCCCAGGTCAAGTAGTTAAGGAATACTTGAAAAGAGAGTTTTCCCAGAGCAAACTTTTTCTTCATTAAAGACCTTTACTTTCGGCCGGGCGTGGTGGCTCAAGCCTGTAATCCCAGCACTTTGGGAGGCCAAGGCGGGTGGATCACGAGGTCGAGAGATCGAGACCATCCTGGTCAACAAGGTGAAACCCCGTCTCTACTAAAAATACAAAAAGTTAGCTGGGCATGGTGGTGCGTGCCTGTAATCCCAGCTACTTAGGAGGCTGAGGCAGGAGAATTGCCTGAGCCCAGGAGGCGGAGGTTGCGGTGAGCCGAGATCGTGCCATTGCACTGCAGCCTGGGTAACAAGAGCGAAACTCCGTCTCAAAAAATAAAAAAAAAAAACTTTACTTTCAAAGCTAAATAACTTGAAAAAAAGAAAGAAAGAAACATGCAGGCATTAACAAAGTCATATGCCTTGTTTATTCTATTTACCCCATTAGTCTACTAACTTTAAATCACTTCAAATATTAAAGGTATGAACCCTCAAAGAATGAGTGAAGTATGTTGGAGACCCTAAGACATTATGGCTTATTCACATTTCACCTCAAGATCTTAAGAGTTTTGGCCACAAGAGGCCCAAAGCAGGTCAACAGAAAGAAGATACACTCCCCAAAAGTTTCTGGTTTTGAGGATAAAAATAAGACTAATTCACCAATAATTATCTTTAATAACTTCATTACAAGCTGTCAAGTAAGAATCTCAAGCTTGTTTACTCATGTTTTGTTAAAAAGTTTTTATAATCAGCTTCCAAAGAGATTTTCTTCTTTAATGCAAATCATTCTTGGATATGGATTTAAGTCATACACATCCAAAAAAAAAAAAAAAAAAGTCTTAAGGGCTGAGTACACTGGCTCATTCCTGTAATCCCAGCACTTTGGGAGGCCAACGCAGGTGGATTACTTGAGGTTAGGAGTTCAAGACCAGCTTGGCCAACATGGTGAAACCTTGTCTCTAGTAAAATACAAAATTAGCTGAGTGTGGTGGTGTATGCTTGTAATCCCAGCTACTAGGGAGACTGAGGCAGGAAAATTGCTTGAACTGGGAGGCAGAGGTTACAGTGAGCTGAGATTGCTCACCATAGCACTCCAGCCTGGGTGACAGAGCAGTGAGCTTTAAAAAGAAAAAAAAAAAAATTGCAAAAACCCCTCATGTTTTAAGTCAAAAAATTTGTGTTGGGTTGCATTCAAAGCCATCCTGGGCTGCATGCAGCATGGAGGACGGGGGTCAAGCTTGGATTAAAGATTGTTTATCTTCTTAAGGGTGAGTGGGTGTTATATGCAAGCAAAAGAAAAAATAAGTTACCATTAATTTCCACAATAAAACTTTCAGTTATAAAAGCAAAAGAAAAAATAAGTTAAAATTAATCTCCACAATAAAACTTTCAGTTACCCAGAACTACCCCAAGCAAATTTTGAACAATCAGGCATATATTTATGTATTTTAGAGACATAAAATATTTACTTTATTTACTTATTTATCTATTTTTAGAGACAGTCTCATTCTGCTGCCCAAGCTAGAATGCAGTGGTGTGATCACAGTTCACTGCAGACTCAAACTCCTGGGCTCAAGCAATCCTCCTTCCTACCTCAGACTTCTGACTAGCTGGGATACAGGCATGCATCACCATGCCCAGCTAATTTTTTAATGTTTTTATTTTTTATTTTTATTTTTTTAAAGAGATAAGGGGTCTTAACTATGTTTGCCTAGGCTGTTCTCAAATTCCTGGGCTCAAGTAATCCTTCCAGCTTGGCTTCCCAAACTGCAAGGACTACAGTCATGAGCTGCCATGCCCAGCCTATGTTTGTTTCAAATAACCTTCCTATTTCTTGCATGATCATTCATACACCTGTATCCAAAAGTATGTTTTTGGGAAGCCCTACTCTATCTCTGCCAATAGTAGATGATTAATAAATTTTTGCCAAACTCAAGAATCTTGCAACAACTTCAAGGGAAGACAATCTGATGATTCCAAATGGTTTTCCATCACTTTCACCATGCAAGAGGCAAAGGCTGTTAAATTAAAACTCTATCATCTGAAAAAAGACAGTTAATGAGAAGGATATTGAAAAGGAAATATCCTGGACTTTTCTGATTTCTGCACCTTGGCTCGTAATTCCTTCTAACTAGACGACATGTCTTTACTAGTGGAAATCTGAAATAAGGATGAGCCCAATGTCATCTCCTTTATAACATGTTCTTCAATTCCCAGAGTGTGAATTAATTTTTCTCACCTTGATATGTTCATGTCAACTCATTTATGACATATCAATTATTGGATCAAAGTTATATTTTATATATATTAACATATTGTTAAAGTTGGCATTAGCTGGTGAGAAATATACACACATTTTCTAGTTCCTTAGTGACAGGGACATCACTGTATAATATTAACACAGTGCTTACACATAGAAGGCACAAGGAATTGTTTTGTGAATAAGCTCCACTGCAGGCTGCAAAGTCTAGAAAGTAAGAATGCTTTCTCTAGAAAAGTAGTTGTGTCATTGATTTATTCTAACACATATTAAGCAACTCAACCAGGATGACATGCTAAGATTGTACAGAATGCCATGTAGATTCAGGCATGCCAAATTAAAAATATATAAATTAATTTAATTGGAGTTTGGAAAAGAGTAAAAGAAGTTCTCACTCTAAATTTTATAAGGTTGGCCAGGCACAGTAGCTCAAGCCTGTAATCTCAGCATTTTGGGAGGCTGAGAAGGGTGAATCACCTGAGGTCAGGAGTCCGAGACCAGCCTGGCCAACATGGTAAAACCCTGCCTCTACTAAAAATACAAAAATTTGCCAGGCATTATGGTGCATGCCTGTAGTCCCAACTATTTGAGAGGCTGAGGCAGGAGAATCACTTGAACCCAGGAGGTGGAGGTTGCAGTTAGCCGAGATTGCACCATTGCACTCCAACCTGGACGACAAGAGTGAAACTCCATCTCAAAAATAAAATAAAATAAAAATACATTTTACAAAGCTATACCATATATTTAGGGAAGACCACTGTTATTTTTAACAGAAAACATGTATGTCCAATATATACAGATATCACCCAATAGAAGAATAAAGAGGTTGGACTGGCACAGGAACTATCAGAAAACAGAAGAATGTATGATTTTCAGGGCATGATTTATAAAGACCTCTTTTATGCCAGGGGCAGTGGCTCACGCCTTTGATTCCAGCACTTTAGGAGGCCAAGGAGGGCAGATCACTTGAGGTCAGGAGTTCGAGACCAGCCTGATCAACATGGTGAAACCCCATCTCTGTTAAAAATACAAAACTTAGGCCAGGCGTGGTGGTGTGCACCTGCAATCCCAGCTACTCAGGAGGCTGAGGCAGGAGAATCACTTGAGCCTGGGAGGCAGAAGTTGCAGTGAGCTGAGATCATGCCACTGCACTCCAGCCTAGGCAACATAGCAAGATTCCGTCTCCCCACACTCAAAAAAAGACCACATGCTGAAAAAATTAAAGGTGAAGTGTCATACAGAATGCCACTTCAAATAGTCTGAAAAAAAAATGTGTGTGTATGGCGTTTGTTATACTATTCTATCACCTTTTCTCTAAGTTTGAAATTTTTCAAAAGAAAAAATTGAAAAAAAAAAAAAAAAATCCCTTACACCTACAAGGAAATCTGACTAAGTACATTCCCATCAGAGGAGGCTGTGAGAGAAAAAAGGAAGTCTTAAAATACATACTCCTATGTTGAGACTGATGGAAAGAGTATGATTTGCTCCTTTCTGGAGAGTAACTTCTGCTACTGACACTGGAGCCAGATCTGCTGTGTGGAGAATCCTTTCGGCCACCAGGTGATTCTCTGAAAAAAGCATTGTCTCTTTTATGCGGAGACCGCTCTCTTGCATAATGGGAAGAGTAGAAACTTTTTCTTCTAAAGCCATCTCTCATGTCCCTTTGGAAAAAAACAAAAAAAAAAAAAAACATAAACTGAGTTAATTATACTATATACCCTGTACATACAAGCACAATGGCAAAAGCTCTGATTCTAAGTAACCTTTAAACTGTACTCTTGGTTCTCTTTTCCTATCACCACCTAACTGCTGAAGTCAGTTAACAAAATGAAACAGTATCAGTGAAATATGATTCAGAATGTACGGTTTTTCAGTTTGGAACAGAACCTGGTGGCTAAGTGCAAAAGTTACTTTATTTCAGGCAAGCATAAATCCTAAAATGTAAAAACATACAGTCATATAGTTTCTACTTCTCTTTGCCGTTAATGATACACCACACGGCTGCCACATTCTCAAAAACACTTAGAAATGCCAAAGGTTTCCCAAGTAAAACACTTCATGGCCAGTTTTCCCCTTCTATGTACAGAAACTACCGGTTTTCAAGGGATATGCAATTTTGCCCACCCACCCCAGGACACTTTGGCATTGTCTAGAGGTATTTTTGATTATTATAACTGAAGAGGAGAGTACCATTGATGGGTAAGAGCCAGGAATGCTGCTAATTTCCTACAATGCCCAGGACATGCCCTCTGACACTACACACCAAAAAAACTCTTCAGTCCAAAATGTGAATAAGGCCAACACTGAGAAACCCTGCTATATGTCTATTAAATTCTTCCTGAGTTTGTATCCTCAGTACATAGATTGTTGCCCAACTCTAAATAACTACTTTTCATAAATCACGTCTACTTTTATAAATTAAATTTCTTGAGAAATATCAACTAAAAGCACCAAGTAAGCCCTAGTAGTAAAACCTTATAAAGCAAAACCATTTTAAAATGTCAAAGCAAATCAAAATTACTAAATAAAACCATCATCAACTGAGTCTCTATTAAAAGAACACTTAAGAGTCAAACAGGTTTTGGCCGGGTGTGGTGGCTCAAGCCCGTAATCCCAGCACTTTGGGAGGCCAAGATGGGTGGATCACCTGAGGTCAGGAGTTCGAGGCCAGCCTGACCAGCATAGAAAAACCCCATCTCTAGTAAAAATACAACATCAGCTGGGTGTTGTGGCACATGCCTGTAATCCCAGCTACTTGGGAGGCTGTAGCAGGAGAATCGCTTAAACCTGGGAGGCAGAGGTTGCAGTGAGCCGATATTACAGCATTGCACTCCAGCCTGGGCAACAAGAGCGAAACTTCATCTCACAAAAATAAAGAGTGAAACAGGTTTTAATCCATGATTTAACAAATGTACTTCAGCATTAAAGAATATTAAAATTTCAGACAGAAGAGTGCTACAAGACAAACCAGTAGCATGGAATTTCAAATGCTTACAAAATTATTTCAGCATATTGATTGGCAGTCCACAGGATGTAAGTAGGCTGTTGTCCTAAAGTTCATTTGAACACTAGCTGATGAACACCCCAAATATACTGTCCCTTCAGACACAAGTAAGTTTCCCTGGGAAAAAGCAGAAAATAGCTTAAATTCATTTATGGTAAATGACCTGGTATAAAACACTAATACTGAAATAGAGTATTAAGGAATTCCAACACTAGTTTAGTCACTAAAACTACAAGGGTCCTACCAATAGCTATTAAATAAACAGGTTTTAGAAATTGTGTGCGGTGCTGGGACCCAACAGTTTACCAAATGTACACAGTTCCTGCCATCACAGAACTCTCAAGATAATAGAGAAGCTGACATTAGACAAATACACATAAAACATGTGAGTGCAGCCAAGAATGGACGTAGAGAGACTAACGAAGAACCTAACTTAGTCCAGGCAAGAGACAGTGGTAGTTTAGATGGGACAGGAGCAGGTGAGGGGTCACCAATTTTACATGTACAAGAATATATATTCTAGACTTAATGGGACATGATTAATGTTTTACTGATAAAGTGTGAAAGACAAGGGATGCCAAGCTGATTACCATAATTTTGGCAAGATAGATTAATGAAATGAGAAAAATAAATTTGAAAAATGAGGATAAAGATGGGAGATCCATATGTTGATGGGAGCATGTTATATTTAAGATGTTTGTGTAATATCTAGGTAAGCAACTAAAGATACTAGTCTGAAACTCAGAGGAAATGTTTGGCTATCAATATAAATTTGTCTGTAAACAGGCAGTACTTAAAGCCATGGTATAGATGAAATCAAAGGAAAAAAAGAACAGCAAGCCTAGAACGTGAGGCTAAAATAAGAGAAATGGGCTGTCATAGAATGAGAGAATAGCCAGAGAAACATTAGAAAGGAGAATGCATTTATCACAGAACCAAGGAAAGAGTATCCTAAGAAGGAAAATAAAGGTTTCCTACATTGAAATTAAACGAGCTCTTACTGATAACTTGCTTTTGGGACAGAGAAGAGTAGGTCCATATTCAGAGGAAAGATTGTCTACCTTCCTCTTTTGAAGAGACAAAACGCTGAACTACAGTTTCCTAATCCTGACACCAGATGGCAGTAAAATTACAACAGTTCAGAGCTATCAGTGGCCTGGGGTGGCTGTGTACACTTGGGGGATGTTAAATGTCAAATGTTAATAGCTCAGAGTAGAATAATGTCTCTTCTCCCCTTCATATCAATACCTCTCCTACTGACCACCAATTTAAGCAAAAACATCACAAAAGGCCTCAATTTTCATAAGTATCCTAAAGTGGTAACATTAGCCATTTTTTTCCAGTATGTGTGGTGTATATTATTTACATATATAGATATTTCAGATATGTATGGGGTGTGTGTGTGTGTGTGTGTGTAGTATCCACTATGTGAACAGCACTATGGGAATTACTATTGTTTTGAAGAAGCTAAGTATATTGGGAAGGCGGGTAGGGTGAGGCGGGTGAGGACCAAATGTTTAAGAAGGCTGGTTACTTTATAAGTAGAGAGAAAGGTTACTTTATAAGTAGAGAGAAGGTCTACTTTTGAAGTAGAAAGAAAACTGATCCAGGTGTTAAGGAAAGATGAGATTTAGACCAACATTATCTAATAGAAATATAGTCAAGCTACAGAAGTAGTAGTCATATCTAAAGTAAAGAGAAACAGGTCAAATTAATTTTAGCATTTTACTTAACCCAATATATCTAAAGTATTACCGGGCCAGGCGCGGTGGCTCACGCCTGTAATCCCAGCACTTTGGGAGGCCGAGGCGGGTGGATCACGAGGTCAAGAGATTGAGACCATCCTGGTCAACATAGTGAAACCCCGTCTCTACTAAAAATACAAAAAATTAGCTGGGCATGGTGGCGCGTGCCTGTAATCCCAGCTACTCAGGAGGCTGAGGCAGGAGAATTGCCTGAGCCCGGGAGGCGGAGGTTGCAGTGAGCCAAGATCGCGCCATTGCACTCCAGCCTGGGTAACAAGAGCGAAACTCCGTCTCAAAAAAAAAAATAATAAAAATAAAGTATTACCAACATGTAATTGACATTAAAAAAATTTAGTAAGCTATTTTACATTCTTTTTCAACCTAAATATTAAAAATCCAGTGTGTATTTTATGCTCACAGAATATTTCAGTTTGACCTGACCATATTTCAAGTGCTGAAAGAGGTACATGCAGTTAGTGGTTCCCATACTGGATAGCATAGACTTCTATGGTGGGAAAAGCATCACAAACTTTAAGAAAAAGCAGTTAACAGAGTACTATATGAACAAGAACTGAAGTAGTTAGAACAATGAGACCTTAAAAAAAGCAGTGAGTGAAAAGCAAAGGTAGAAAACTTTTAAGGAGATAGTATCACATACTGCAAGTCTGGGGGGACTATATATTTAAAACCTAGGGGTTGGCTGGCTACAGTGGCTCATGCTTTCAATCCCAGAACTTTGGGAGGCAGAGGTGGGAGGACAGCTTGAGCCAAGGAGTGCAGGACCAGCATGGGCAACAGAGAGAAGCCTATCTTTACAAAAAATTTAAAACTAGCTGAGAAAGGTGGCACCCATTGGTAGTCTCAGGTATTCAGGGGGCTTAGGTGGGAGGATCACTTGAGCTCAGGAGAGGCTGCCATGAACCATGTTCATGCCACTGCACTCCAGTGTATGTGACAGAGCAAGACCCTATCTCAAAAAGAAATAACACCAGGCTGGGCGCAGTGGCTCACACCTGTAATCCCAGCACTTTGGGAGGCCGAGGAGGGGCATTTCATTTGAGGGCAGGAATTTGAGACTAGCCAGGCCAACAAGGTGAAACCCCTTCTCTACTAAAAATACAAAAATTAGCTGGGTGTGACGGTGCGCGCCTATAGTCCCAGCTACTCGGGAGGCTGAGTCATGAGAATCACTTGAATCCAGAAGGCAGAGACTGTACTCCAGCTTAGGCAACAGAGTGAGACTCTGGCTCAAAAACAAACAAACAAACAAAAACATAGGTGTCAATTGATCTGTCGTTCCAAGAATCTAGTAAAATTTTGTAAACCAAAGCAGACTGCAAGAAATTAAGATACAGCTAGTGAAGAAGTTAAGCCATTACTTTTCTTCCAAAACAGGTTGAAGTTGGGAATATGGGAGGGAACAGTATTTTGAGCAAAGGGGCTTATTTGACCATTGCTGAAGGTTGACAGGAAAAAAAGCCAATTCACTATAGAAGGAGAAATTGATAACCCAAGACACAAAAAGGTTAATAGTAAAGAAGGAGCCAAAAGTTAACAGGACAAAGTAAAACAAAGGGACTAAGTAGAAAAGAAGAATATGAAAAGGGTAAACAGAAAAACTCTCATTTCGAGAAAAGAAAACAGAGTTCTCATCAGAAGGCCTTTGTCTCAGTAATTACAGAAGTCATCAATAAAAAGTAAAGAAGCAAAGATTGTGAATAGAGGCTTCAGGCAGATTATAAAGTTTTACAGATCCTCTGGGACAAAGTATTAAATAGAGTAATGCTTCTCAAAATATGAGTCCATAGACCAGTATACTTGCCTCAAATTTTGCAGGAAAGGTGATAGAAATGCAAATTCATGGGCATCAACCCTCACCAACTGAATTAGAATCTCTGAGGGTGTGACCCAG